AATTATATAAAAATGTTCCAATCATTTTGCAGATAAGAACCAATTTTTTGTGTGGCAGATGATTGAGAAGCCAAATGGCAAGCAAATAGAAAAGGTTGATTATAAACTGAGGTCACCATAAAAAAAAAAAAAAAAAAAAAAAAAAAAAAAAAAAAAAAAAAAAAAAAAAAAAAAAAAAAAAAAAAAAAAAACATAAGTGTAAAGGATTACATCTTAAAATAAAGTCCTAAAAAGCAAATGCATTACCATTAAAAGACGTCCTTCAATGCCAAGCATGGAAATAATAACTTCCTAATGTCTATCTTTTTACATTGGACCACCAACGATTCATGACAAAATATCTGAATGTTTATGTGTGTTGGACAATTGAAAAGTTTAGTTAATCAATTTGATGAGAGAATTAATTAAGCAATGAATGCCCTATTACTATTTTCTTCTCATTCTTTGTTCTTTCATAACCTTGTTAATTCTCTCGTCCATATTTGTTTTCAGCTTTGAAAAAAAAAACACTAAACTATATATATGTAATATATGACCAATTAAACCATAAGACAAATGCTGGACATTGATTAAAAAATAAAAAGTTTTTGTTAAAAAATTAATATATACCTTAATATGTAAAAAAAAAAATAATTCATTAACCAATTAATAGTTCTTAGAACATAAGCAATATGTGAGATATGGAACAATAAAGAAGAGAAATAAATTACTTACTTTATCATTATGTACAATTTAATATTAATGTATTGGTTATTTTTCAGAATCACATAACTATTTTTTTAGTTTGTATTAAAGATATATCTCAATCGATACTCAATGACTAATTTTTTTAAGATATAGAGATTATCAAAAGTTTTGACTCTTCTAACAATTTTTCTCTCTATATATATACCCATGACCATGAATGAAACTCAGAACAATATATTTTTAAAAAATTGAATATCTACTAACTATATATATAAAACCTTATTGGTTCACAAAAATCCTCTTTGATGAAGGAAAGCTATGTATATAGGTGTTGTCTTTGTAGCACGTACTTTCTTCTCTTAAATATGTGGAGTTGAAGGAATTGGGGACCATAAACGGAGTAGCTACTGAATGTACACACATACATGCATGGATGATATAAAAGAACATTTCCAGTTTGAAAAAGAGAAAGAAAGAATGGCCCTTTGCTTGTGGTTGAGCAGGTAAGGTAGAAACTTATATTTGGAGCCTTATTAGTGGTACTATCGTCCTATCTACCATATCAAGTTTCAAAGACACAGATTATTGTCGAATTACAATAATGATCATGTAATTAACTAATTAGTGGCATTTTCAAGGACGTATAGTTGTTCTATAAAGTACTGGGGTGGTCTATTTTTATTTTCTTCACAATGACAACAAAATTAGAATTACAACTTAAGATTGTTGAAGGGTTCATTTGGAGTAAAAAGTCGCGTAACTATTAGAGTTGAATATTTTGAGTAATATATAAATATAAAAAAATTATTTATTTAATATTTTATAAGATTTTAAATTATGATATAATGTTAAATTTATTTATATACTTTATTTATTATATTCATAGATGAGAGTGTTTCTTCATGTTTAATTCCTGAATAAAAATATTGTATATATTATATATTACTCAAATTTTTCATTAGATTGATTATAATTACTCTGTTTACGAGTAGTCTATACATTAACGGCATGTTTTTATCCCTTTGGTTGATAATCAAACTGAATATTATAAAATAAGCTGCGGCGAAATAGATATTTGTAATCTTTAAAAAATATAATTCTAAATTTGTTTTTGCATAAACTGATGCTTATATATTTTTTATATGGATTTTATTTTTTATAATTAGTCCTCATATATATATAGAGAGAGATTTATTTACTCTAAGAATAAGTTTACCTAGATTTACTTCGTTCAATAACTCATGTTTTACATCAAATTTTAACGATTTAATCGTTGAATTTAAAGTTCTTAATCCATAGATCAAATTTGTAAATTTTAAAAAAATTTAAAAATTATTTGATACTTCATTTCATTAATTCAAATTGACAGATAATTATAAAATCATTTTATACATCAATTTGAATTAATGAAACGAAGTATCAAATGGTTTTCAAATTTTATAAAATTTTGCATATTTTTTTATCTGTGCATTAAGAACTTTAAACTTAACGGTTGGATCATTGAGATTTAATTTAAAACATGAGTCATTGAACGAAGTAAGTCTAGGTAGACTTACTCCCGAAGTAAACGGATCCTTCCTCTATATATATATATATATATATATATATATATATTGTGTAAATCATTTGAGTTGTATTTTAGTAATTGTAAATCTTATTTGATATTTTGTATTATTTTAATTTTCAATAATCATGTGTAATGCATGGAGGGTTACTACATACACATATATCTATTGTGACCTTTCGGTACATAAACTATTAGAACTATTGATTTTGATCACGTGATCGGTTGAGTCAAGTATGACGAAGTTGATAGGTGGATTCGCACATATGATCTTTTGTATTAAAAGTCTTCATAACAATGAATCTATGCATGAAAAAAAATCTTCCTAGTAACATGGATAGTTAAGAGACGTGTTTTCGCTATCATAATTTAATGATGAAATATCAATACATGACTAAGTTTTATGAGTCACCATTGAATATACTCGTAGACTAGTTTCTATAGCAGGAGATTAAACATGACCTTTTGTTTAACAGGAAAATTATATATTAAGGTTTAATCTCGCATTATTAAAACAAGAAGAGAAATACGAGTTTATAAAGTTAGAACCACTTTTTTTTTCTTCTTTTTCTTTTTTTCTTTCATTTAGAGTCGAGTACAAAGTTAGGAAGTTCGGAGCAGTTCTTCCTTCTTTCTTTTTCTCTTCTCTTTTCTCTTCCTCTTTCCTTCCCCTCTTGAAAAATTTTGGTTCTCCGAAGAGATAAAGGAAGCTCGATCGTGAATTATTGTTATATTTTGAGTTGCATGTGATTGGATCAATATCAAAGACGTGATTTGTGGCTGAGTTGGTTGAATTGAGTAGGTTGCATGTCATTTGGGGTTGTAGGTGTTCTTGAATGAGTTGGGTAAAAATGGGTGATTTTGGTGTTTTGATGGATGCATGTGATGTTTTATGATATTTTTAAGTTGTATGTATGAATCTAGTAAGGAAAATGAGTTGTAAATGGTGTTTAAGGAGAGAAATTGTGGATAGTAGGTGAGAAACGAAGGGGAAGCCATGAAAGTGTAGAAAATTTTTGCACTCAATGCTGCAGTCGTGTGGAAAAATGGGATGGCAAAGATCCATCGCTACAACTATGGTTAAGCGTTGTAGCGATGGGGAAAAATGGACTGGCAGAGGTCCAGCGTTGCAGTCACGATTAAGCGTTGAAACAATGGGAGAAAACTAAGCTGATAGAAATCCAGCACTGAATTGAGCGCTACAACGCTAAAGTAGATGATCGAATTTGAAGGCAAAATATTACGGTTTCTACCATTATCAACATATGGTAGATGATAGAATTAAAACTTGAGTTCTTCATACAAGTTGTAGAAAATCATTTTATCTTTCATATGAGATAAATATGAGTTCGATCGGAGTAGTGGAACTCCAATTATGTTTTGTTATGTAGAATTTGTTGTTGTATGCTTATTGTTGATTTCATGCTGAAAATGATATGTGTTAATTCCTTTATAGCATATGGTAATATATGATGTCCAAGTTATTATATGATGAATTTTTGATATGGATGATGATGTATGAGAATGTTTAAAATTATTTAAGTTATTATTGAAGTTGTTATGTTGAGACTATTATACATGTTGTAAGTTGTGCCTTAAGTTATTCAGTTGTTAAATTGTTTGGTTGTTTTCAGTTGATTGTCAAGAATTTGTTTTTGTTGATGTATGCTTAAATTTGTAAAGCTACTTTGATGTTGAATTATTATATTACTTTGATGTTCTAAGTTGTCTTATAGTATGTTGATAGTTGTTAAAGTTAAAAGTTGTAAAGTTGTAAGTCATTCTAGTTGCTTAAGTTGATATATGATGTTGTTTTCTCAAGATGTGAATGTTGTAAAGATGTATGTTATTTATGTTGTTTAAGTTGACATGATGTAGAGTTAAAAGTTGAACGTTGCATGTTGTTAAAGCTGTTAAGTTGAATGTTGAAAGATGAATAAGTTGTCAAGTTGATAAAATATAAATATGTGGGTTAAATACACATTTTAGCTACGAAACGTAGAAAATAGAGGAGAGTTAAAGATGTTTTTCAAAATTTAATAACCCATTGTGTGGATATACATTGTGTTAAACCCTTCAATAAGTAAGTTGACTTTTGAATGGGTATGTTATTTTCAATTGTCTCATCTAGGTTTTACATAGTAATCCGTGTGTGGGTAAGATCGAGATCCACGTGTATAAAGGAACCAAAATATAGGAGTCAGGCAAAGTTATACTAATTACAAGTAACCAATTGAGTAAAGTACCGGGTTGGGGACTTAATCTCTAATCTAGTATTGGAGGGTAGTCGTTGAGTTAATCCCATAAGTGACTTAGATCAAATTTATTATTTGAGATCCCACAATTGATTTTGTGAGTGAAGAATAAAGATTGTCTTAACTTATAAACTTTTTTATCATACTATTAATCATTTTAAAAATTTTAATAATTATCATTCATGTCAACTATCCAATATCTAAACCCTCAAATTTATAAGACTAAATATGTAAAAAAGATCTAATAATAATTTAATAACGAATGATTCGATAGATCCAATAACAATCATTAAAATAAACTTTAATATTATCTTAAGTACCATAAATTTAAGTTTAACTCAATTCTTGAACCAACTAAAAAAAGATAGATTCCCATTATATATTTTATTTTATGTATATCAATAATAGAATTTCCTACATTTATGTAAACAATAACAAAATAGTGCGAGCAGGCGCTCAAATTGAAAGTGGAACTTTACATTATAATATCCCAAATGCAATTATATAATTGTTTTCTTAATAATGATAACCATGATGCACCTCCTTTATATACCTCCCCAACCTCCACTTCCCATTCATTCAACACCATTCCAAATTCATTCACTCCCTCTCCCAAACTAAACAACAACAAAGTCCCACTCACGGTACCACCTGGTCAACAATGGAAATCAAACCAGGCTCAGGCCCAGGCCCAGGCCCAAGTCCAAGCCCACAAGCAATAGCCGCAAGGAAGCTATGGAACATCGTGCGCATCGTGTTCCTCATGCTCAGAAAAGGCATCGCCAAGAGCAAAGCCGCCGTCGATCTCAACCTGTTACTCAAACGCGGCAAGCTCGCCGCCGCCAAAGCCATAGCCGGCGCCGCCGTGACGCTGCACGGTGACCGAAACAACGCCGTGGTGCAGCCGCGCCGCGACTACGAGTTCAGCTGCAGCAACAGCCCCGCGCTGTTCCCCTTCAAGCGCAAGCACCAAAGGTCCACGCGCTGCCACGACGACGTTTTGAAGATGCTGGAGATGCTCAACAACGATAACAAGGTGGTGGAGGCTTCTCCGTTGCCCTGGTTCGGGAAGAGCACTCACCTTGGGAGAAAACTCAGAGTCACGGACTCGCCGTTTCCGGTGAAGGACGAGGAAAGAGACGACCACGACGACGACGGCGAGGTTGATTTGGCGGCGGAGGAGTTTATTAAGAGGTTCTATAGGGACCTCAATTTGCAAAGGAAAATGGCTGCCATTGAGTCACCCTACCATTACAGTTCCTGGGACAGATGAGAAATACCAAGAATCACTGAGCTTGACACATGGATGCAGTCACCACGAGTTTGTATAATATACACAAAGTTGATCATTAGGATTCACCATTGGGTGAGGAGTTTGTGTAATATTTACAACATCTTATGTTTTAATCTTGTCTCCTTGTACACAAAAATGAATGAAAAATACTAGCTTTTTTATCTAGCTAGGAATACATGCTGAGAAAGTATCTAGTGGTGAAGAGTTTATGTCCAAGATGTTTAAATTATAATCTTGTTGTCACCACTGTAAAAAAAAAAAATATATGAAAAATATCACCTTTCTTATGTATAAATTATATGTTGTGCGAGTATGCATATAGTTGATTTTAGTTAATTTCAAAAAAAATTATTTTAACTTTTCAAGATTATCAATAATATCACCAATAATAACAAATTGAGTCAGTAGTACATATTAATAGATTTAATGTGATTTTCTTACTAATAAATAAGTTGGTAGATGGATTTAATGTAATGTATTTAATAAATAAATAAATTTTTTTTACATATTTGAGTAAAAATAAGATTAAAATATTTTTTAAGAAATTATAAGAACTAAAAAAATAATTTTAAATTTAAAAGACCTTATATTTAATAGATTAATATATATATATATATAATGATCTATTATTTAGTGTTAGTGATTTTGATTATGTTCTTAATGCTAAGGTGACTTGATCACTCATCTTCGATCTTTGATTTGGATTTTGGTTGGAAAATATTTTCTAA